TATCCTCTTCTATTTCTTTCTTTAAGATTTTGTAATTCTCATTGTAGAGATCTTTAACGTCCTTGGTTAAGTTGATTCCAAGGTATTTGATTGTTTTTGTAGCTATTGTGAATGGGATTGATCTTAGCAGTTCTTTCTCAGCCGTGGCATTGCCTGTGTGTACAAAGGCTGTTGATTTGTGTGCATTGATTTTATATCCTGCTACTTTTCCAAACTGTTTTATGAGTTCCAATAGTCTCTTAGTAGAGTTCTTTGGATCTCCTAAATAAAGAATCATATCATCTGCAAACAGTTTGATTTCTTCCTTCCCAATTTGTATCCCTTTAATTTCTTTTTCTTGTCTGATGGCTCTGGCTAAAACTTCCAGAACTATATTGAATAGCAGTGGTGAGAGTGGGCATCCCTGTCTGGTACCAGATCTCAGTGGAAATGCTTCCAACTTTTCCCCATTCAATAGGATGCTGGCTGTGGGTTTTTCATAAATTGCTTTGATTGTATTGAGGATTGTTCCTTCTATACCCAATTTGCTTAGAGTATTCATCATGAAAAGGTGTTGTATTTTATCGAATGCTTTCTCTGCATCTATTGAGATAATCATATGGTTTTTCTTCTGCAGTCTGTTAATGTGGTGTATCACATTGATTGATTTGCACACATTGAACCATCCCTGCATACCAGGGATAAATCCCACTTGGTCTGGGTGGATGATTTTTCTGATGTGTTGTTGCATTCTATTGGCGAGAATTTTATTGAGGATTTTTGCGTCTATGTTCATCAGGGATATTGGTCTGTAATTTTCTTTCAGTGCTGCATTTATTCGGGTTTAGGAATTAAGGTTATGCTGGCTTCATAGAAAGAATTTGGGAGGATTCCCTCTTTTTCGATTGTTCTGAATAGTTTGAGAAGAATTGGAGTCAGTTCTTCTTTAAATGCCTGGTAGAATTCAGCAGTGAATCCATCTGGTCCTGGGCTTTTCTTTGTTGGGAGGGCCTTTATTATTACTGATTCAATTTCTGTCTCGGTTATGAGTCTGTCTAGGTTTTCTGTGTCTTCATGTTTCAATTTAGGTAGGTTGCATGTGTCCAGGCATCTATCCATTTCTGATAGACTTCCCTGTTTGCTGGCATACAAGTCCTTGTAGTAATTTCTGATGATTCTTTTTATTTCTGTGGTGTCTGTTGTTACGTTTCCTTTTTTCATCTCTGATTTTATTGATTTGGGTCTTTTCCTTTTTTAGTTTGTTGGGCCAATGTTGTGTATGTTTTGTTTATTTTTTCAAAAAACCAGCTCTTCATGTGGCTGATTTTTTGTAATTTTTTTTGGATTCAATCCTGTTGATTTCTTCTCTGATTTTAATTATTTCTCTTCTCCTCTTAGATTTGGGTCTGGTTTGCTGCAGTTTTTCTAGATCCTTGAGATGCACTGAAAGTTCATTTATTTGGTTTATGTCACAATAGAACATTTTTTATATAGTATGTGCATGCTATCACTATTACTGTCTTCATAACTTAATGCAGGGCATTCAACCTCTACTTGTTGACTCATCCAAAAGAAATGAGTATAATAAACCACACTTTGTATACAAAGTTATTGTAGGTATTTAGTAAACTTGTGTGCATTTTAAAAACCTGAAAAACATGAAAGAATAAAAGTGTTACAATGCCATAGGGAATAATTCCATGTATTATGTTCTATAGATAAGATAGTCTCGTTCATATTTCTAGTTCACTCCCTACTTTCCCAAACCAACACTTCTTATGTGTCCTTTTTCAGCAAAGATTGATAGATGATTGCTTGGGGGAAGCAACATGGAGAGGAATTTTTGGAAGCAAATAGGGTGCCATTTCATGTATATCAAAACATTGTGTTGTAATCTTATGTTTGTACAACCAAAAGAACATTAGAAAAGAACTGTACATAGTTGGCCATGATAGCAATATTGTGGTTATGTCCATAATGTGGGGATTAACTTTTAAGATACTCAGTGACAGGTTTTCTAATGAAATAATGTAATTTGTGAATCTTCATTGTCTGTGGGTATATTGAGGGGTGTTGGAAATTTTCTTAGGGTATCAGTTGGTCTAGATTGACTATACTAAATATTGAACAGAAATGAGAGGATCAAACAAGGTGGAGACTGTAGTGGTCTGAGAAAAACTGTGTTTCCTCTAAAAGGGACAGCCAATTCTCAGTTCCAGTTCAGGGTACCTGGATGTGAATGTGGGACCACAGACAAAAGATTGTCTATTTTTTTTACATTGCCTGATTTTTGAGGATTTTGCCATAAATACTAATATTGTTATGAAAACTAACGTCCTTTTAAAGTTGTCACCCAATTCACAAGTTTATTTTATTTAAAGATTTGTTTTATTTATTTGAAAGACATAGTTATAGAAAGAGGTAGAGAGAGAGAGGTCTTCCATTCGCTGGTTCACTCCCCTAATGGCTACAATGGCTGGAGCTGGGCCGATCCAAAGCCAGGAGCTAGGAGCTTCTTCCAGGTCTCTCATGATGGGTGAAGGGGCCCAAGGAATTAGGCCATCCTCTGCTGCTTTCCCAGGTGTATTAGCAGGGAGCTGGATTGGAAGTGGAGCAGCCAGGATTCAAACTGATACCCATATGGGATGCCAGCACTATAGGCAGGGGCTTTAACCTGCTGTGTCACAGCACTGGTCCCTCACAAGTTTAAATAAAATGTGATCTGGCTATCTAAAATAGATCAAATTCAGCATGCAGCTGCAAATTTACAACTGTTTGGAGTTGTTTGAATACCTTGTTCCTTTTCATCCCATTCCACTGAGATTTTCCTCTTAGTTCCACAGAATCTCTGGAAATGCATTCATTTTAAGTAATTACTATATTTTAGGTATATATACATGCACCAAAAAAAAGCTGATTGTACTGTGTATTAGTACATCTGCTGTTTGAAATATATTTTGGGGCTTCTCATCCCTGCTTTCATGCATTTGAAATTTCAGGCTGATAAGGGAAGTTGTGTCCTATCCAGCATGGAGGGTGGCGGTGCAGATGGAGTATGAGGAGGTGGGGATCCACAAGCAGAACAAGAAAGTCTGAGGAATCAGTTCCTCTGTGGGCTTATTTACATTGACACATGCCATCTGATGATGCACAGCAGGCATAGAGAAGGTTTTAATGTACCAGATAGTGTCCAAAGTAACCACACTTTTGGGCTATTCCACAAGGCCATTTCCATGGAGCCAGAGAAAAGAGATCTCCTTGGTTTATAAGAATACTCCACTTCCTTTGCCACAGTGATAATTCCTCCATCCAGCTCTGCAGCCTTGCAGAAACACCTTTTACTATGTCTAGGAACCAGGATATCCAAAGGTATCAGCTAGATGCCCCATCCCAGTTTTACTTCTGCAGTTTGGGGTAGGGGAAATTTTCCTGGGCTCCCAAACCCCAACTGGGGAGAAATGGTAGGCAGGAATAGAGTAGAGCAGTGTCTGTAGGTTCAGAAGCTTTCACAGCTGATCTCCAGAACCCATAGTCTATTCCCTTTTATCTTAAGCAAATCTCAGTCATCTCTATTTAACAAACACGAAACAACAATGTAGTTTTGGTAAATTGTTGTTTCTGATATACATTCAATCTTATACAGAGCAGCTTGGTCCTGCAGAGAATGGCCCACTATTTGACTAGGTTATTTTTTAAAAAATTTTATTTAAAGTATACACATTCCATACATTTCATATATACAGATTTAGAAAGATAGTGATTCTTCCCACTCTATCCTCCCTCCTGCCCACTCTACTACCCTTCTTCCTCTCTCTCCTATTCTCACTTCTAATTTTTACAAATATCTGTTATCAGTTTACTTTCACTAAGTATAATGGTTTCCAGTTGCATCAATTTTGTTGCAAAAGACAGGATTTCATTTTTAACTGCTAAGTAGTATTCCATAGTGTATATATACCATACCATCATTTCAGCTTATTTACTAGGTTGTACTAGATTATTGCCTCCTGGATATTCAGAGCTTGGTTAAAAGACATCTTCAAACTCTTTTCCAAGGTATTGCATGAGGTGTCCTTTCCCCACCCATACCCACACCCAAATTAGCAAAGATTGAGCAAAGTCCATTTTTAGGGCAAGACTCCCCCAGGATGAGTATAGTTAACTGTGCTGCAAGATACTGCCCCTATTGAGCACAAGTCCCCTGCACCCTGGGTTCACCCTTCTTACAATCACTTTCCATAGTTTCCCTCAACACCTGTGTATTTACATGCACCTGAAGTCCTACCCTGTGAGAGGAGACATAAAGAGAATGCCAACAACCAGCCTCTAAGTGGTAATAATTAGGTTTTGAATGTGAAGCCAGCATACTGACTTATGGTCCAGTGGTCCAGGCACCATAAGGAGATCAGACCCAGCAGGCTGACTACACCTCTGTCCTGACTCTGTTTCAGTGCAGGTCATAGCCCAGTGGTGACATAAGCTCAAGGAATGATGGTCAATACATAGGGCATGACCCTCTGCCCTGATGAGACCATGATGACACTACTACTCCACCGTGGGCAATAATGGAGACCAGGAGGGACTTCATAGCCAATGTTAGACAGTTACTAGTGTTAGGTTGGACTTTAAGGAACCACATTTTCCTGAGACAGCTGAGTGTTGTCTCTCTTTCTGTGGGTTTAAGGTACCCTTACCTCCTGGAACCCATGTTCATAGGTCTCAAATGTTCTGATCTCTCTGCTTCTGCCTTTCTTCCTTTTCAGATGTAATTCCTCCCATGGTCTTAGTGATTGTATTGAGAGGAGATGGAATGGTCAAAATAGTGGTCTTTGTTACCTCAGAACTGCAGCTGCTCTACCAAGACAAAGAGGTTTTCCAGGAGTGTGGCAGCGGGACAGCAGCAGCCTCTACCTCACCTAGTTAACCACCTGCAAATGCAGAAGCTGCAGTGCATTTCTTCCCCAGGTGCCTTAATGCAGTAAGCAGCAGATACAGGAGGCACACACTTTCCGGGGAGCCACATTGGGTGCAGGCCTCCTCTCTCTGGGAACCCCTGCCTGGCCTTCCTGAAGCAAAGGCCACCTAGGAGTTCAAGGCAGTTTGGACCTGTATGTTCTTGGGCAGTGGGAATGCTCCTGGGCACTGAGGTAAATATTTCCATGCCATGTTTAGATGAGTCAAGAGGAGAAGCTTTAACTCTCTATCTCCTATGTTTGTGTTAGCAGAGTTTGACTGGAACCAGGGCCCTGATCAGGTTGAGCAGAATAAGGCACGATAGTGCAAGTGGAGGGTCACATTTATGTTTTATTTCAATTTTGGATGATTTCTTTATATTAACCTTTATTTTCAAAATAATTCTATGAATATTACTGAATGCCGAGGATATTGGTGCCTCCTGAAATTTCATGTGGAGGTAAAACACCAACCTTAAAGATAGCTTCCATTTGGACACAGCACAATAGGGCCTGGGAGAAAGGTGTTAGGAGACATGTATTTAAACAGAAGCATGCAATGAACATTGTATATTTCATTTCATTCACATCATCATATACTGAACATCTTTGGCTTTCTTCCCTCAGAAAAGAGTGCAAGTTGCACCAGCATGACTGAAACAGGGGTCACTATGTAACAGAGGTCACTGTGTTTGGCAAGGCACTTATTCTGGACCCTGCTTCAGGAATTGGACTCCTTTGTGCTGGAAGTTCTGATGGAAAAAGGAAACTGCAGCTCATGGAAATTTCTCATGAACAGTGTAAATAGTTTCAAAATTATCAAAGGAAACTGAACCAAACTACATTTTAAACTTCTGTGTATAATTGAATTTATTTGGACAATGTACAGGTAATATGTTAATGTTACTTATTATGTAATGTAAGTAATATATCATGCTTGTATTTCTATAAATATATAGAAATATATACATATTCAAGAATATATTTGGAAGAACTTGTATGAGAAGACTGTATGCTAGGAATAAAAGTATTATGTGTGTAAGAGCACTGATGAGAAGAGTAAATGATATAACCTACCTAAATATCCAGCACAGTGCTTCATATCAAGCATAAGCCTTCCGATATGTTAACTATTGTTGTCCTATCATATGTCCTATTGACATTACCATAAACTATGGCACATATGGTATAATAGAATGAGATCTAACTAGGAGTCTAACCAGGATTCTTCAGGAGAGACTCACTGAAATGTTTACTAAGGAAATGATGCACTATCTATATCTATATTGGCATCACAGAAATCCTGGGGTGATGCATGTGTGTTGGAGTATTGGATAGGGTTTTGTGAGCCAATGTCATCTATGAACAGTCTTTAAACCTGGGTAAAGGGTATGAGATTCATCTTAGGATGCTCTGTACCTTTCCATGATAGACATGTTATAAAATTAGAAGTTCTAGATCAAGATTGCAAATTCAAATTCTGACATGGCCAGGTAGGTAAGAAAATTGAGAGGTGGGGACTGTCGCCAATTGTGGAAGACTCTTTTCAGAAAGGGAAAAAAGGGAAAGGACAGGACACATGCAGCTCCATGTTAGTGTTGGTGGCTGGGGATGTTGGGCCAGAAATTGCCAATTTTTCATTTTTTCAAGATTGACCAAAATCGTAATGTTTATATGAATTCTGTAGTTATTTAATCATAGGAAAACTAACTGAAATATCTTTCGTCAAAAAATGAGCTGTCATGTTTAAACATTCTTACTTGCATAATGTAGATGTGTTGAATTATGTGCCACTCTAAAATTTTATACAATGAAAGGAAAAAGTGTACTGGCTGTCTATACAAGGTTTGTAGGAAACACACATGCTGAAACTTACAATTTACCATCTTCAGTAAGAACCAGTTTGAAGTAATTTTCATTGTCTGGAAAAAGCATTGTCTGGTGAAAGCATTTATAGGCTAATCATTATAGTCTACCAGTCTTCTGTCCTTCTTATCCTCGTTATAAGTCCTGCTCCTGTATGTATATTGCTCTTTCACCCTTACCTTCCCAGTTTTCATATCAAAGTTATGAGCATCAGTGTCTAAGATGTCACCTGTGGCTGGGACCAGAATCCTGACAGTAAAGAATAAGACAACCCCTGAGCTGATTTGTCTTTCTTGTGTATGTGGTTGTTCTAAGTTCTTAGTAGTAAGCAGGTTCCTGACAGAGGCTGAACAAACATTATGCCTCAGGTGAACGGATATCAGGCTGTGAAGGGCAGTGCATCCCTGGGCACACACTGCTAGGTTTCTCCCTTAACTTTAGGTCCCTGCCTCCAATGGGCTGTCCAGGTATTCAGAGTCACCTGAAGAACTACCTTTTTTTTCTAGTGGAAAAAAGATTTTTGAAAATAGACTATGTATATTTGATTCCCCCTGATGGACTTTGAACACATTCAGACAGCTGACACATGTCTCATGCATCTCTCTTCTGACATGTAGTCCTCTGTATTCACAAGTGTATGTGTTATACTAAAAAAAAAAATCTTAGACTTGTTCTCCAATATTGATTATAAATTTATCTGTAGTGGATATTGTCCAGTGATCTTTGTGTTACTGATATATGGTGAATGTTTACAATGAAATCTGTGAGATCTCTGTGTCTGTCTATGGTCATGTATGAATGTATGTTTTATATGCATGTGCTTTTCCATGTCTGGATGATAGAAGTAAGAAATTTATAAAATCAGTTGGAGGATTTTTTTTTTTTTTTTGACAGGCAGAGTGGACAGTGAGAGACAGAGGGAAAGGTCTTCTTTTGCCGTTGGTTCACCCTTCAATGGCTGGCGCGCTACAGCCGGCGCACCGCGCTGATCCGATGGCAGGAGCCAGGTACTTATCCTGGTCTCCCATGGGGTGCAGGGCCCAAGTACTTGGACCATCCTCCACTGCACTCCCTGGCCACAGCGGAGAACTGGCCTGGAAGAGGGGCAAGCGGGACAGAATCCAGCGCCCCGATCGGGACTAGAACCCTGTGTGCCGGCGCCGCAAGGCGGAGGATTAGCCTAGTGAGCCGCGGCGCCGGCTTAGTTGGAGGATTTTATAGTCAAATTGGCTTAGATGTAAATGAGAGTATTTATGTATATATATATGTGTGTGTATATGTATATATATGATTCCTAAAACTCCTAGAAATAAAGGAAACCAAGTTATTGCAAATGCAGGTTTATAAATCTTTGGTAAATATAATATAGTTTTAATAAAAATAGCTTTCTAATGTCCACATGCTGTAAAATAATTAGGAAGTTACTGAAAATGATGGCTCACTTTCTTATTGTCATTTCTGCCTAGAATAAAATCTGGATCATTTCAAGGTCAGGTAAACCACTAAAACAATGATTACTGAATCTAAGTTTATATTTTCTATTTGACATTTGTTTCTGTATGTTAGAGGAGCCAAATATATTTGGGTGTCTTAGTAAACATGAAAAAGTTTCCCATGAGGAAGTATATTCCTCTAGAAATTGCAGATTCAAATGTGTTTGCCATTAAATGCCATTCCACAACTGAGTTATAGACTGCGTGTGACTTCCCTTAAATGCATCTGTTGCTATCTTCAGCCATTGTGATAGTTTGCATTATATGGGCCTTTCATAAATGATGTGATCATTCTTAGGGTAGAGCCCTTATGTCCTTAAACATTACCTGATTCTGTTTTGTGTAGCCCTCAGCAATTTCCACAAGTTATCACAACTCTGATTGTTTCCTTTCTTAGCATATTCTAGGAAACTTTTATTGGTAATCACAAGTATTAAGAATTACATGAACAGGCCAGCGCTGCGGCTCATTGGCTGGTCCTCTGCCTGCGGCACCGGTACTCCAAGTTCTAGTCCCGGCTGCTCCTCTTCCAGTCCAGCTCTCTGTTGTGGCCTAGGAAGGCAGTGGAGGATGACCCGGGTGCTTGGGCCCTGCACCCGCATGGGAGGTGGGGAGGTGCCTGGCTCCTGGCTTCGGATCAGCACATTGCGCAGGCCATAGTGGCTGTTTGGGGGGTGAACCAATGGAGGGAAGACCTTTCTCTCTGTCTCTCTCACTATCTGGCTCTGCCTGTCAAAAAAAAAAAAAAAAAAAAAAAAGAATTACATGATCAGAGTTTTGCAGGAGTTCAAGTTGGGTCTTTGTCTCAAGGTGGACAATGAGAAAGAAAAAGTGAAAGTAAGGTTTTATTGAGGAGCAAATACTGCCAAACATGAGGGGACACCAGGCGGGGTTCCATTGAGGTTTTGGAAAAGGGAGCTTATATAGGGAGAGCATACTGATTGATCCATTCCCTATTTAGTGCACTGCTTTTCTTGCCTGTTTGTTTTTTGCATACACTTGCTTCAGGGGTGTTATTTATGATCAGATGAGAAATGTTCAATAAAAAATAATTTTTGTTTTGAAAGTCATACTTGTGGGAGTGGGGGGAAGGGAGAGGGAGATGTTCTTGTTCCATCTCCCGGCTCACTCACTCTCCAGATGACCACAATGGCAGGAGTGAGAGCCCTGGCAGAAATTCCATCTGGATTCCCATGTGGGTGGCAGTTGTCCATGACTGGGGCCATCCTTGACTGCCTTCCTAGGCACGTCAGCAAGGAAATGGATAGAAAGTTAAGAAGCCAGGACTCAAATCTTTGCTCATATATTCAGGCAGCTGGTTAACCCGCTGCACTACAACATTGGCCCTCTAGAGGTGAATTTTTAAAAATTTCACCAGGGACAGGCACTGTGGTGCAGCAGGTTAATGCCCTGGCCCGCAGTGCCGGCATCCTATATGGGCGCCAGTTCAAGACCTGGCTGCTCCACTTCCGATCCAGCTCTCTGCTATGGCCTCTCTCTGTGTAACTCTGACTTTCAAAATAAATAAATCTTCAAAAAAGTAATCTTCACCAGAGCATGCAAATGCTACAATTCTCTGATGTCTGAAGTGCTTAGCCATGTCTGTGTGGAGCCTGGAGATGAAAAGGTGTGGAGGAATACTAGGGCATCATATGAAGAGAACCCCAAACAAGTGAGAATTCTAGGGCAGGAAGGGGCATAAAGGAAAGCGATGACAATGGGCACAAAGTAGGTAGGGTGAAGGGAACACTAGATGATCAGAAGCAAAGAAGACAAAATGACTATTCTAAAGGCAAGGATGCTTGTACAAAGTAATGTGGGCACATCTTGCTCTTGTCCACTAAAGGCTCACCTGCTTTTCCATGCCCAAGAAGCCACACTACAGCTTGTCGTTCTAGGGATGTGATGAGTCCTTGCAACAGGCAGATAAGGAAGCAGAAGTAAAGAGGGTGCCAGGGACACACATTTCAACTCTAGTGAAGAAGATCCCAAACAAGAGGGGAAGGGCTGTTTTCAGGTTTCTGAGCTGAGCCTCCAATCCTCCCTGCCCATGACTGATGATCCTGGCCATTCTGGTTTCCAGGTCAAAGGGAAAAGATGAATAGAAGCTGCCATTCATGAGGAGCTGATGGGTTTCCTGAGCTTGGTAACCTTAGACAACTGACCATGCTCATCCCTGGTGCCCAAACTGACCCTCGGGCAGCCATAGATTGGGATACCAGAACTACTTCACCTTCAGGAATACAGGAAGATCTGCATGGCCTTTGGCTCTCAAGGCCCGCCCCTATAACACTTCGCAGAGCTGAGGATCCTTAGAAACAGTTTCTAGTACATCAACAAAACCTGTCTCTGTGCCCCCCTCCGACTATTGGTAGGAACATGAGTTACCCTGTAAACCTGTGGAGAACAAATTTTCTGTCCCTTCTAGTTCTATAGGAGCTTCTGAAATCTAATGATTCGGAAGCCACTTTTGTTTCCAGCCTAGGACTGCAAATATGGGGAAGGAAATGATGGGCTACAGGGTACATTTCACTGAGCAAATGTATCAATCGCACAGTCAAGTCTTCAACTTCAAGTGCTGTCTGTGTAAATTACATATAATGTGGAATGGGGGAGGTGTCTAATATGCATGTGACTGCAATATACATTGGTATGTAATATAGGAACTGTTCAAAGTATATTTTCCTCTGGAACCCTTTGAATTAAAAGAAAAATATCTAAGTGGGATAGGAAGAAAAGGGACAAAGCATTCAAATTATTTCCTACACAAATTACTATTTTACAGCAGCAAGATTTAGCAACTTTGAATGTCAGAATAAAATACAAATCAAGTTTTGGTTCTGTTCCATGTGGTATTTGGGAAAAACTAAGAAATGTATTGAAGTTGGAAAATAACTGTGGTTCACCTAGTTTCTAATGTCATGCAATGCTATTTCATATTTTTAAAAATCAACTGGGTACAAAGTGCTTTCTTACAATTTAAATTTGAAACATTATTATGTTAGGTAATGTGGTCTTTGAAAATTCATGGAAAATGTAAATAAATTTATTAATTCCATATTCCATAAAGTTTTTGAAGATTCTACAATTCAGTGAAAAAAGAACTGCACAATTCATTTCAAAAATTCCACAATTCAATTCAAAAACTTAAGGAAGTAATAAAGGTCCAAAGCAATAAAAAGTAAAACTACAGACTTCTCATGCAGAAGAAAAAAAACAAATCTATAGACTTCTCATGCAAAAGAAATAATCAGTCTTAGCAATGGTGCATCTTCTCACAGACATCACACACAAAGATGATGCTCCTCTTCGGGTCCAGGTCTCTGCTATGGCCTGGGAAAGCAGTAGAAGATGGCCCAGGTCCTTGGGCCCCTGCACCAATGTGGGAAACCTGGAAGAAGCTCCTAGCTCTTGGCTTTGGATCGGCGCAGCTCCAGCCGTTGTGGCCATCTAGGGAGTGAACCAGTGGATGAAAGACCTCTCTCTGTCTCTACCTCTCTAACTCTGTCTTTCAAATAAATAAATCTTTTTTTAAAAAAAAAAAAAAAAGAAAAATGGTGGGTGAGTGGATTCAGAAACAATAAGATTGAACTCATGCCACATGTAGGTTTAAAAAATACGAATTATTGTGTTTAAAATTTGCTTCAGTTTTACATAAGAAAAAAACCAAAGGAGATGTTTCTTGATCATATGATACAGTATTTTCCCAAAGTCCTCTTTTCTGTCTCTTGTGTGTCGTGCCCTTCCTAGATGTTACCTTACGTATTGAGATGTTTCAGGCTCTTCCAAAATGCTTACTTGCCGTAGAGATGAGCTGGGAGGTGCCATGTTAAATGGGGCCTAAAGATGGATCCTATTGTTATCTTGAGGCTTCATGTCTTAGATGCTCCTGAAGTCTTGGTCCTCAGTTGTCAAGATAATTAGAAAATGAGAGTGAAGGTTATAATCTAAAACACCTGGGATGGAGTGGAGTGTCAGTGAACAAAGCATATATTAGATCATGATTTACAAGGAAGAAAACCAGGGCAGAACGATGGCATTCTAGTGTTGTCAGCCATGAAGCCTTCCACTGACTTTTGCTGCTGCAGACTTTTGAAAGTTGTCCAAAATTAGCTTTCCAAAAAGAAGTTGCAAATTGGAAGCTGTGGGCTGAATATATTCCACTGAACTGTTTTAGATTGCCAACACTCTGTGGACAAGTCATATTTGAGTTGATTTCTGATACTTAAGGAATACAAAGCTTTGGGTCAATGTTTGTAGTTTTGATACATACTAAATCCTGGAGAATAACCCTCCCCTAAATATGAGTAATGGTCATTCATTTTGGAGCAGACCCATTCCTTCCCAGTCCCCCACATTTTCCATCCTGCTTGCTTCCCTCATTTGGGTTTGTAATGCTGATCATTTTTAAAAATATTATAAGGGATATAAAAATTACACAAAAGCAATTTCCTAAGATGAACCCTCATTTGCCAATCATCAATTTCCTTTTTTAAAAAAAAAAAAACATTTATTTTTATTATTTGAAAGGCAAAGTTTCAGAGAGGCAGAAAGAGAGAGAGAGATCTTCCATCCACTGGTTCATTCCCCAGATAGCCACAGTGGCTGGAGCTGTGTTGATCTGAAGCCAGGAGCCAGGAGCTTCTTCCAGATCTCCCATGCCAGTAGTGGATCAGCTGGGACTTGAACTGGTGCCCATATGGTATGTTGGCCCTGCAGGTGGTGGCTTTACCAGCTACACTACAGCTCTGGCCCCTCATCAAGTATTAATAGTCAGCATCCATAGCCAAATGTTTTTCATCAATACTGCCACCCATTCTTCAAAGAACCTGCCTCCATTCATGGATTACTTTTAAGCATACTCAGATCATCACCACACTTCTTCAACCACATATTTCAAAGTATTATCTAACATACAGGCCACTTTTTTTTTTAATGCAAACACAGTAGCATTAGCACAGCCAAAAAGTGTGAATAATTTTTGCTTACTATTATCAGATATACCATTGGCTCATTTTATACAAACAAAGCAACTTTCTTTCCATGTTATTTTATTTATTTATTTTTTTGACAGGCAGAGTTAGACAGTGAGACAGAGAGAAAGGTCTTCCTTCCATTGGTTCACCCAACAAATGGCCGCTAAGGCCGGCGCGCTGTGCTGATCTGAAGCCAGGAGCCAGGTGCTTCCTCCTGGTCTCCCACGTGGGTGCAGGGCCCAAGCACTTGGGCCATCCTCCACTGCCCTCCCGGGCCACAGCAGAGAGCTGGACTGGAACAGGAGTAACCAGGACAGAATCCGGCGTCCCAACCGGGACTAGAACCCGGGGTGCCGGTGCCACAGGCGGATGATTAGCCTAGTGAGCTGAGGCGCCGGCCCATGTTATTCTCTTAATTTTGCTGCCTTTTTCTTGCAATGAGGAGAAAGAAGAAATGTGGAATGCCATTCTGAGAAAGAGGACTGGAGAGTCTTAATTACGAATAGGATATTCGTAGTGCAGGGAAGGATTCCTTGACTGTTCTCACTTTAGTCCTTGGACAGGTTTGTGTGCATATGATACAATATTGCTCTCATAATTTTCGAGGTGACAAAACAATGAATTCCATGGCTTGCTCAAATTTACACACTTAGTATTAGAGCTTAGAGAGGAACTCAGCATGACTTTGTTGGCCCCAAATATTCAGGACTGACCCAATAACTGATAGCTTCCCTAATTTTCACCTCTACTTCCAATTAGGACCAACTGAAAAAGCCAAATCTCGT